TTCATTCCTTCATTCAGTCTTTTTTTTTCTTTTTGATTGTTCATAATTGGGACAAAAGGTCAACGGTATAAAAGGGTTACCGGATATGGCTAATTCGAGTTGACATCAGATGGACATATGTTTTATGTGTCACTCTATAAATCCATATATGTTTATTATTTATGGGACAGATTTTTCATGTAGCTGTTTTATGGATGATTAAATAATTACTATTCCAAGCATGAAGTCAATGTTCAGAATGATCAATAATAATTATAGGTATTGTTACCTGTACAGTTATACATTGTATTGATTAGATGAAGCACTTGATTACGAACTGGTAATGATGATGCTGTAGCAGAAAGTGCATGTGACAATACCGCTAAACATGCATCATCAGACCATGATGATGATAACGATGATAGTGATGATAATGTTGATGATGATAATGGTGGTGATAATTCCTTAAAAAGAATTTTTTTTTCAAAAAAAATTTTTTTTTTGTTAATTTAATTTTTAATTTAAAAGAAAAAATGGGAAATAAAATACTTATAGGGTAAATGTTTCATAAGATTGAATTTAAGAATTATTACAGTGTAGCTAAAGTAAATTATATAAAGTTTTAATGTTCACGTGTGATTATTTGTATTTTTCGTAACTAATTAAATATTGTTATTTATATGTAAGTTAGTTAAAAGATCACACTGCTGTCTAACTGTAAATTCTGATTGGAAAAAAGATATTAAAAATTCAATGAAATTGTTAATTTTATACTATATTTATTCAAATTTAAATAACTTACATTCAAACATTTCCCATTCAAATGCATCGTTTGATTCGATTTTTGCCATGAACACAATCTAAAATTGATAAAAATCAAAAATTGCTAATAAATTTACAATTTAGAGAAATATAAAAGATGTTGTTTGATAATTTAAATGAAATTATTAGCGTGATTAAGTTTGATATGAATGAAAAGAGTAATTTTTAGAAGTGATGATAAAAATAATATTTGTCATCTATTATCTCTGATCAAAGAAACGTTGCTTAAAATTTCATCCCAAATTTACAATTAGTTAATTAAATTAACGAACTTACCATTGTTTAAAAATTAAATCGTCTTATGATTCCAAAGATTATAGAATTAATAAGGAACATATAATTTAATTAGATTATTTATCATTTTTCGCATTGATACATACATGTAGCTTAAAATTCAAATCTATATGAAACAAATTGAATAAATAAATTTTGCGTCCCTTAGAAATTAACCAAATTAATTATGATTTCAAAAGTAATGATAAGAAAATTGGAAAAAGAGAGAGGGGAAAAAGAAAAAAAGAGGGAGGAAAGAGATATATGAGAATTTTATAAAAAGAGTACTTATCTTCGGATCATATCTACCGCATACTTCAATCAATTTCTTTATATTAATTACCGATATCATTTTGGATGGAACTGTAATTTGGATATTTCCTACTTGAATGTGATGAAGCAGAAAATTGAATGAAATTCATCTTGGAATATTTTATCTGAAGTGGTTGACGGTAAGTCTTTTGAAGAAAAAAGATAAATGAATAGAAACGATTAATTAAAAATAAATAGACAACAAACTATTATAGTATACTTACTGTTAATAGACTTATAAAAAATTTTAAAGAATTAAATTACAAAAATATTACAATTAAATTTGAAATGTTATTATTCTATAATGTTTTAAGATTTTTAAAGAAATTTTTTTCTTATTTTTCCATTGAACTTTACTAAGATTTTTTTATTTATTGTAGACTTGTTATTGCTTCTTTTTACTGTTATTATCAATTAGTGCTTTTCAATTGATATAATTTGATCATTATTTTAAAATTTATTTTAAACTAACGGTGATTGCATGAATGTAATTGGTTTTGAATTCACATTGGTGGTAATCGGTTCAAATAATACGCAAGTCTTATCAGTGATTATTTCCATTGCTCTTTGTAAGCATTTATTAATTGATTCATCTACAAAAGTTTTTTTTTTATCACTTCAGATTTTGATTTTTTCTTTTTAAGTATGATCGATTGATTTTTGTTA